TGCACAAATTTATGATAAATACAAGCGTAACAAGTGGAATTACATGATGGAGGAAGGTATCGAGGATGGATCCACAAAACTGTGGTGATCTGTACATACAAAAACATCGGTGCCATAGTCTGGAATATAACTACTCGTATATTTCTCATATGCTGAAGGAGAACAATTACTTTCACAATTTACCGCAGGCACAGACAAGGTAAGAATAATATCTTCAGGAGAATGTAATGTCCAAAAGCAATAAGCTTAACGGGAGACCACAAACTCCCTTCATACAAAGGCGAGGAAGTGTATATAGCAATTAGGTTTCAAAAGAACACATACGTATGAGATAGTACACTCTAGATAGTTTGTTTGACAGAGTTATCAAGCTCTAGCAGGAGGCAACCGGGTATCTAATACATGAGTTGACGAATAACACGTGAGGAACAAATTGCCATGAAGGAACACAGGAGGTGCATAACCACGAATTGTGTGTAATTACAGATGAAGAAGTAGACATGGAAATGTGCATACCGCTATTCATGATGCTTCTGGATGGATACGAAGAGCAATAGGATTCACAAGACGTGAAGTTGTACATAAGGGGCAACATAAGAAAGCTTTTGGAAGACGACAATATGGAGACGACCCCAAACATAGCAGATAAACACAGAATCTTTTTGGGGATGTCAAGGAAGAAAGAAACGCTGAGTATAAAAGGCGAAGATTTACAGGCCTCATATAAAAAGAGAAAAAGAGACAATAAGACGAAGGCGCTCACCACCATGATAATGATGCAGAAGTAGTAGAACATTTTCAGGGGCGGAATATTAAACGCATACTTACATGTTACATTGGAATGGTGTTCATACGGATGCCCTAAAATGGGATGACCTCAGAGAATTTTTATAAATACAGAGTACAGGAACATGCGAGGAACTCCTACCGAGAGAACGAGGGGAATATGTACTTCCAGAGACAAGAACACGAATTAAGTGAAATAGTTAAGAAATTAAGAAGATAATCAACCCCACTGTTGGGGACAATGGCAATTCGTAGCACATGCAGAGACGCAACTGACTGATTGTGCCTCATCAGGTGAAGAACATATCTGAAGGCCGCGAAATATTCTATATACGATTCTATGCCCTATTTGTCCTGAATGTGGGAATACAAAAATTTTCCGTAACATACAATGGAGAAGAAATGTACAAATGGAAAATGCAGAATTTCATATTTGTAATAATCCTCCTTGAAGATTCCTGATAGTCCATTTATTTGTTCTCTTAAATACTCGTTATACATAAGAGCCTAGACATATATGGAACAGGGGGAAAAAGATTACTGTTCATTTGTTTTACTTAATGATAAACATGGCATATGGGATCCTGTTTTCCCACGCACCTAACAAATTAGGCCACACTGTTCTATGAGGCACACACAAACATGGAATTTATACGAAATACCCACTCTCATCCTGATGCTTCTGTATGAAAAAGCGCACAACCCACTCAAGCCAACGCAGTACAAATAACACAGTGATAAAATATCCTTAGAGAGAAAATCATGCGCTAACAGTAAGGAACGAAAAAAAAACAAGCAAACATAACTACCACAGCATTCTGGAAGTCCAGGTTTTCCACTACTTACATATGAGAGTAGTCTGCCGTAAAGTTGTAATTACAAAACCGCCTATCATTCATTTATCAACGTAAATAGAAGTTATGCCTTTCTTTTGCCATATCTATTGCACCAATGAGAGAATAATTAATGTATTTTTTACTGATAGAATTGAAGGGCTTCCTAGTAGGATGGAAAGAGAAGGAACTTTTTGGTTATATCATTGCGAAACGGGATTCATCAAATTTGACACGGAAAAGGAACATTTAGAAATATGGTATTTTAGGAACAGGCCTGTCTTTCCCTAAGTAGTGATCATCATATAACCCATCAGAGACGATACCGCCGATTTTGTCAGCATCCCTGTTTCATCCTACCAGCATATATATATATATTGTGGTAACCCCTGCATTATATCGAAATGTTTTAAATTACAGGGGGTCCCCTTTTTTCCCATAGGACAAAGCAAAACAAGAGGATAAAACAACAACTCCTCGAAGTCCGAAATCCGACCCTTCCTGGTTGTCTATTGGTCACTCTGTTGCTACCACCTCCTAGAAGGAAGGCACATCCCAACCCATGCCAGGTCAAAGTTGTTCGATTCCATACACTGACTCATAGATCAATTCTTTCTTGACAAAGACGCTTCCTCCTCTATAATTATGGTATTAGAATGGTTCTATTGACTTTCTAACTTGGGTCAATCTAAGTCCTTTAATAACCATACAATGGGGTGTTGACTAATAATGGACACAAAAATAGACTCATAAAATGGAAGATGGTACACATTCTAACACAATGTAGACTAAATCTAGACTCAGTTGAACACATAACTTGCTTTTCGGAGGATAACTAACATATGGAAGGAAGGTCATCCTAGGGGGGGGTTAACCCTTCAGTGAACCCAGTCGCATACTTAGGTTCCTGTTCAAGGCCCTAGAAGATGGTATCAAAGTACGTTTGTGGTGACTTCATATTGTTATTGGGCGTTCCCTAAACCCTAATTCTGAGCAAAACTTCAACCCTTTTCTACGCCGGAACAGGGAGGATTGAAATATTGATTCTCCCCTTTCCTGTTTTACGCCTCCCTTTTCCTCTGCAAATCCGAAATATTCCATAGACGCTCGCCACCCCCAGTAATATAACTCCTAACACACCACCCACCATTCCTCCGATCTTTGGAGGGATTCCTGTATCCTCCTCTGTGGTTGATTCCGGTGGGTCCGACTGTTCTTTTGTTGTTCCTGAGGTGTCTGAACCTGATGTTACAGTACTAGGCTTCAGTTCCAGTTGTTTGTTGTGATGGGGCTCGTCCTCTTGACTCATCGTTGATCCATTCCTTACTAGGATACTGCTGCTCATGGAGGAGGTTCGGCTAGGCACGTTAGGGTCCTTGGTCGTTCTTTGATCTACCAAGGAAGCTAATCCATTCCTGGTGCCGGCAGAGTTGGTCATACTGCCATTCACGGGGAGAGTTGTCCGGACCCCTCCTTGACTTATCGACGGGTTCGGTTTTTCTTCTGTAATTTCCGAGCCCGTATGAGGGGGTTGCAACGACTGTTGACTGGGCTTGGGGGGATCTTGGCCTGAGCCTGCTCTTTTCTGTTTTAAGGCCACTTCACTAGTCCCTGCTGTGACCCCTTCCTTTTTTAGGGGGACCATTCTTAAATCACCTACTTTCCAATGTCTTGTTGTTGATTTTGTACACTCTATCACTCTGCCTTTTACTTCACAATACGGCGTCCCCTGGCCCACTCCTCCTTCTGAACCCTTTTGAACCCACCGCGCGAAACTATAGGGCCCACACTTCTCACAAAGACTAGCCATACTTCTATATACTGTTAACACTAAACTCATACTTGCACTTTTACATCTTCTAGGGGTTCCTTCTTCTTTACATTCTTCCTTCTGTTCGGTTGAGAGACTTCCTTCACTGCTTAACCATCGCCTCCATTGATTTTCATCTACGATTAAGGCCGTATCTATCTGGTCACATAACTGGGCCCTTCCTGGATACTTGTCCCTTTCGTCCTCTCCTGAACTAGTCAAGCCTGTTAAGATGCATACTATTGTTAGGAGAAGACCTTTACCGACTTCACTTTTATCCCATGGCTTACTTAAACTATCATTCTGTTTTAATATGTTGTACCATTCCCCCTTCCCCCATAATAAGTTCTGATCCGTCTTTGGTGAATCTGCTATCAGATCTGTATTGACCTGATTTATTATTATATGCAACAACTTGCCCCAGGGGAGAGGCGTTTCCGTACTATGCCTTACGCAGGTTTGCACATCTGGGCTGAAATCTTTTTCCCATCCCGAGGAGATGGGCTGTAATATTTCTTCGTTCAACCACTTAGCTAGACCAGGCCATCTTTCTACTCCTTCCTTCATTAACTCTGGATAACAATATAGAACTGTGGTATTCTGCTGACATGTATTCCCTGCGTTGGGCGCGTAGCCCCAGCTCTGGCTTGCTTTTGCCCAGTTATTCAATTGCCATTTGCTATTTTTAGGCTCTCCCATACTCAAACTGCTGGTTCTACTAGTCCTCCATGGGATAGATTCCTGCTCTGATTTTTTTTCCTATCAACTCCTCCACATTTGGGGGGATTCCTTCATTCCATTCCTGCTGAACTCTCCCTCATCTGGGACAGGGGAGGGGCTCTTTATGAGATTAGATGTTCCGCAAATTTCTCCCGAAGCTGTCCCTGGGCTCTCCATTTTTCCTGTGGTTTCGTTGCCGAATTCCATTGTTGCAATGTTCTGCATCAGTTATTAGTATTCGGATATATTTTAAGCCTGTTTCTGATGGTTCTGGCCGACGGGCCTATGCGCCTTAGCCTTCCTTTGTTTCTCTATTCAGTTTCGTAATATGGGAAGGCTTTGCCATGGCGACTTATTTGGAAATATATTATTCGAATTGGGCCTCTCTCTACTTAGGAATTTACGATTACTGACCCTCAGTCCTTCGGTTGAAGCTTCTGCCTACAAGTTTGTGATTTTGTAGATCTGGATTTCGGTGCTGGATTCAGGTATCTGGCATGATTTTAGATAATCCATTTTATTCTATTATGAATCTTCTTCCGACTCTGGGGTCCTGATTCTGCCCCATGGCTCTGACGCTAATTCGTTTTAGAAGTTTTCATTATTCACTTGGAGATTACTTAGGCTTTTGTCGTTACAGTTCTATGACCCTTTAGCGCTTGAGGCTTCTTCAATGCACTCAGTTTTCTCTTTTCTTTGAGGATTATAGTTGATATACTCGAACTCTACTTTGATCTTTTCGATCAGAAGCATACCCTCTAGATACTTCCGATTATGATAATTGCTCCTTCTTGTACTTAGGGGGCTGCTATCTTTGAGGATCTTTTTTACTTCACTGTATTCTACTTAGCCGCTTGATTCCGGTATTTTCTCTATCCGCATGATATCTTCGTTCTAGGATTCCACGTCTTATGTTTAGCGATTATTGAGCAATGTGCAGTTTTATGTTTACTGACTCGACTTTGAAGATTCCTCAGATCAGCTCCGACGGTAGACGGGATGCTAAGGGACGCAATTAAGGTCGAATAGACGCTTCCTGTCCGGATCTTGATTTACGAGAATCCTGCATTAGTCCCCTCTGTCTGTTTCATAGGGTACGCTAAGCCACGAATACATAAGCTTCGGGGGGCTCTAGAGGTTCTTTTGTTCACTTACGCATCCTTTGGATTTGAGTTGCGGTTGGACGTCTTTTCTTCTCCTACACCTGCCTGTTTCTTTATTGCTACAAATTAGATTTGGGTTCGTCATTGGCATTTTTTATTGGTAGATCCTTGCGTGTTTGAGTCGGCTGTTTTGACTCCCTCGGATTTAATGCTCGTATCGGGAACGGGGGGGATTGATGTGTTAATATATTGCTTGATCTTTACTACTCATTCACGCTGAATTGCATATTTGTAATATTAGCCTCCCTCGACTTTATCTTGCCGGCTCCCTGAATCCTCTGGGCCTCTTTCCTGTAACTGCTGCTTGGGCTCCTGGGGCCTTGGGGGTATCTATTCATCCTCAATCATCAGCTTCCCTGCATAGGATGATCTCCCGTTTCTCCATTGTTTGTTCCGGTTGCCCCTTCTTTTTAGGGCAGAGTTTATTGGGTCCCACTGCTTCTCGAGCTTTCTATCATCCTATTTTTCGAACCTGTCCCCGTATGTGTAGTTTTGGGTTACTTAGGACTCATTGTTGGATTTCCTTATCTGAGATACCCCCGTAAGCTTCTGCTGACTTGTTTTAAATTACGATTTCCTATTTAGGGTCTCTCGTCCATAATCAGGGAAATACTAATCCTCCAACGATCCTGTGCTCATCCACGGTTTCCCAGGAGGTTAGTCATCCTTCCCCTGCTCGTTAAGTCTGACAAGAAAAGTTCCTCGGTTTTCCGAGACTAAGTACATACTGGGAACTATTCTTCTACTTCTTGAGGGATTCGTTTTGTTAAGACGTGTTTTTTACGAAATACTTGTTGCTTAGCCCTGTCTTAGGAACATCTTTTGTTATTTGGATGTCCCGTTTCATATGTACCTCTTCTTTCCTTGGGTTGTGTCGCTCAAGAATTATGTTAGCATTATCCGTTGGTGGGGTTGTGAAATTATCCTCAATCAGTTCCTTTTTGGTATCTTCAACTATTTTTGGCGATTTTTCTTCTTTCCCTTCTTTTTCTGTTATTCCTTCGCTTTTCAGGGGGGCTTCTGTCGAAGTCTCTCCTGTTATGTCTCTCTTCCGGGAGGCTCGTGGCCGGTATTCTGCTCAGTTCTGAAGTTGTTACGCGGGGAGGCATGGAAATATTCCCTTTCCTGTACTCTTATTATTTCACATAGGTCACCTTATCGTTTCCTTATCACCGATTTCCTAGCGGGCTGCTTGTTTAAATATCAGCCGAGCGAAATTGAAAGACACATATGAGGAAGCGTCATGATATGTTTAATAATCCGACCAAATATAAGAATTTTGTTATGAAAGCTACCGCTGATTCCCCTACATTATTCCAAGCACAGGCTGAATAATTATAATGCATTGGTTTTCCTTACCTTAATTGATACTGACATCTAAGGACGTTGCTTAATAATCATACACAATCTTTTACAGATTAAACCCTTTGATCATTTATTACCCTAAGCAGATTGAACGAGAATGCCATAAGTACCAAGCTTCATTAAGATGGAAAGTTAGGCATCTCATTACTTAACCTGCATAGATACACCTTAGATTAATGCTAAATACTGGCAGAAGAAAAGATTCCAACTGGATCATTATTATGTCCCTAGTATTAATCCTAGTTTTCAGGATTCGTGAACATATTTTCACAAGGCAAGTTATTCTTTTAGGTTCCTATATCATGCATAACGAAATATCTATTCATATGGACAGACATTGGACACAACTACAAAATTATCACTGTAATGTACAGGTATACGTTATGATCTCAGTATAAAATCCATCACGATTTGTAAGAAATAAAACAGCATGTACTCTCTTAGGGGCGTGTTCTTTAGGACATTATTCATCAGCCTATCTTTAAGAGGGTTTAGCCTGTTTGATGTCAATAAAATATGAAACATAATAGATTCTATGCTGCCTCTTCTTCTTATGATAATTAATGACTCTTCGGTATATTTCTAGAATAAACGTACGAGGGGAATACATTTTCTTCTTTCTTTTATTGGGCCAAAGGCCCCTTTCCAGGTTCGTGAAATATTACTTCTCCTGGGATATACCTTCTCCTTTGCTAGAGACAGTAACCACTGCTTGTTAAATTCTTCGCATCAGAGGAATTGAAGGATTCATTACTCTTCTTCGTCTCAATTTCTTCCTGACAATTATTTTCACTAACCTTCGAGGGGGATATCCGATCCTCTGTCGGCTGCTCAGATACTGTGTCCTGTTTCTTCTGATTCAGCCACATTGTGAAAGGGAAAGTAATCTCTGGTTCCTTGAGTCGAAGACCCCCTTTTGTTACTTGGATACACATCATACTGCTCAACTCATTCTTTGTCAATTTTGGGAGCCGATTTTTTTTTTGGGAATTTGTTGACTTTCTAGGATTTCTGGAAGAGGTAGTTGTAATTTCCTTCTTTGGACTCATTATTTCTTGCTATTGGAAGATTTTAAATAACACTAATCGGGTTAAACATTCCTTCTTTCAAGGGGGCTAAATATTATTCTGGGGGAAATGAATTGTGATTACACTAATCAGGGTAAACAGCTCTTCCTCTTGGTTTCCTAAATCATTCCTGCTCGATCATTATCCGGAATGACATGGAAGGGGGGGAACAGTTGGTCTGGGGTTTTGCGCATATTACTTCCTCATGCGTAACTATCCAGAATGACATTAATCGAGTTAAAAAAATTTTTTCCTTGGGTTGCTAAATATTCTTCGACTGATAATTAATTTGAATGATATTAAATTGTGGAAACAGTTGTTTTTTTTCTTGTGCAAAATATTGTTGTCTTCGTAATTATTTGGATTGACGTTGCAGAAGTGAAACATTTGTCGTTACTGGTGTGTAAAATAACGCACACATTCTAATTATTTGGAGTCACACTAAACGCGTAATTAATTTTTCCTTTCTATTTTTTTCCTTTACTTTTGCACTGTAATTATTTCTAATGAAACGAATGGGGATGAATTCTGCTTCTTTTTCCATTACATTAATTATTTTTTCGCCACGGAATTTTTTTTAGGAGGTTACGCGATTGGAACATTATTGCGTCTGGGTGCAAAATATTGCCTTCTTTTGTAATTATTCGGAATGACACTAAAGTGGTTGAACATCCGCTGTTTTCGGAGGTGTTTAATTAGTTTTCCGCAACCGCATTTTTGGAATCACATTACCCCAGTGAATCATCCCCTTTCGTGTTTGTGTGCAAAATATTGCCCTCTCTGGTAATTATTCGGAATGACACTAAAGTGGTGGAACATCCGCTGTTCTCGGATGTGTTTAATTATTTTTCCGCAACCGTAGTTTTGGAATCATATTGCATCAGTGAATCATCCCCCTCTGCTCCTGTGTGCATAATATCTCCTTCCCTGGTAATTATTCAGAATGACACTAAATGGGTGGAACATCCGCTGTTTTTGGATTCCTTTAATTATTTTTCTGCACCCGAAATTTTGGAATCACATTACACCAGTGAATCATTACTCTTTCTTTCTGTGTGTAAAATATTGCCTCATCCCGTAATTATTCGGAATGACAGTAAAGGGGTGGAAGATTCGTTCGTTTCCAATTCGATCAATTATTTCCTTGCAAACACATTTTGCGTAGGACATTACACATGTGAAATTATTTTTCCTTTTCCTGTGGGCAACATTTTTCCCCGTGTGGTAATTATTCGGAATGACAGTAAAGGGGTGGAAGATTCGTTCGTTTCCCATTCGATCAATTATTTCCTTGCACACACATTTTGCGAAGGACATTACACATGTGAAATTATTTTTCCTTTTCCTGTGGGCAACATTTTTCCCCGTGTGGTAATTCTTCGGAATGACAGTAAAGGGGTGGAAGATTCGTTCCTTTCCCATTCGATCAATTATTTTCTTGCACAGACATCTTGGGAATGACATTACACGGGTGAAATTATTTTTCCTTTTCCTGTGGGCAAAATTTGTCCCCGTCTGGTAATTATTCCGAATGACAGTAAACGGGTGGAAGATTGGTTCCTCTCCCATTCGATCAATTATTTCCTTGCACCCGCATGATTATAATCACATTACACGAGTGAATCATTACTCTTTCTTCTTGTGTGCAAAATATTGTCCCCGTCTTGTAATTATTCCGAATGAAAGTAAAGGGGTGGAATATTCGTTCCTTTTCCATTTGTTCAATTATTTCCCTGCACACACATTTTGGGAAGGATATTACACGTGTGAAATTATCTTTCCTGTTCTTGGGGGGAAAAATTGTCCCGGTTTCGTAATTATTCCGAATGACTGTAAAGGGGTGGAATATTCGTCTTTTTTCCATTCTCTCAATTATTGCCTTGCACACACATCTTTGGAATGACATTACACATGTGAAACTACCCTCCCTTCTTTTGGGTACAAAATATTACATCCACCGGTAATTATTCTGAAGGATTTTAAAGGAGTAGAACATGTGATTTCTTCGCTGCTTTACTATTTCCTTGGCACCCGAATTCACGGAATTAATTTACATGGACGGAATATTTTTTTGGTCATTTTCGTCTAATTCGGCTTTGTGGGGAATATTTGCAATAAGATTAGACTGTCCGATCAGGCGCCTCTGCCTCGTTTGTTCCATCCTTCCTTTAAGTTGTCATGATTCATACGCAATCAAATCTGCACGAAACTTCCTCCAACTTCTGCTCATCACTTTGGCACTCTGAATTCTTGGGAATTAAATTAACCGTATGGTAAATTGCCTCCTTGTTATTTGGTTAATTTTTTCTTGCCATCTCGCTGAGTGTAATACATTTCATCGAGTCAAACATCATTCTGCCTGTTCCCTCGGTTCATGTCCATTCCCAAAGGATTTTATCGAATAAAATCTTCCGTGCGGAACATTTTTGGCTTCCTTTTTCCCTTCAATTAAGTGGCCGCTATGTTAGTGTTCGGAATAAAATTAAACGTAGGAAAAATTCTCACTCTCCATTTTCTTTTAACGAGTTCTTGGCCCATGAAATTTTTCACCAATTTTAAGCGGAGGAAACACTGATTTCTTCTGGTCATCTTAATATTTCCGGCTACTGCAATACATGTAATAAAATTACCCGCTTGGATAACTCGACTCTTTTTCTTTTGGGCAATTATTTCTGCTATATCAATATATGTAATAAAATTACCCGCGTCGAAAACTCGCCTTTTTCTTTTTTTTTGGGAATTATTGTTGCCATATCAATATATGTAATAAAATTACCCGCGCTGAAAACTCGCGTTTTTTTG